ATATATATTTATATATAATTTATATCAAAACTGATAGTACACAGTATAACTGGAAGAAGAACTGAACTTAAAAAGGATATGTTGAAAGAGGATGGAGTTTGTGAATGCAATAAATAAAGCCCCCTTCCCTCCCCACCCGCTCCCTACCCCAAAACAAAAAGTTGTAATGTTCATGGAAAATTGTGCACAGCAGATATTATAAAAAAGTAGATTCAGGAGCACATCCAATTATAAATGATTGTTAGGAAAATCATATAAAACAATGGAATACATAAAAGTGTCAAGAGTAATCGTTAGGGCAAGAAATTCCTTGGTGGCCAGATGCCCACGGCAAGCAGAAATTATCCTGGTTGCATCAGTAAGAGGTCGATGTCCAAGAAAGTGTGTGTTCAAGCACAGAAGAGGCTCTCCAGGATTTGAACAGCATGGGCAGGTGGAGTGTTTGAATTTCATACCCTGATTCATAGTTTCCACAACTCCATGTGCAATTTTCAGAAAGATTCGTCGTTGACTGCCGACATGTCCCCCTTTGGCGTGGAGGAACGGGACGAGCCCTTGTCTGTGCTCTCAGAGCCCGAGCTGCTCTGATTCTGTTGTTCTGATCCTGCACTGGAGGTCACTGTAGAAGATGACGTGGAAGAGGAGCGAGTCTTTTCTTTAAAGTCTGTGATAATTACTGTGACATTTCCCACTGTGACTGCCAGCTGCTGCGCAGTACTTCTGTCCACATTTTTCAGTCTGGGTCTAAAATAAATGAGAAAACATTTATAAAAAGGATAAAAATAAACGAGAAAGGAAAAGTTTATTAGAAAAAAACATTTGACAACAAACTCGGCGTGGCTTGTCCTCCGCTCGCCTGTGCGGATGGCAATAATCAGGAGGAGAATCTAGGCAGCAGTAAGGGCTGCACAGCGGAGGACGAAAGCTTGACCTTCTGCTCCCTGCAGCAGCACGCTCAGCCCCAGCAGAAAAACCTGTCGTGCAGAGCTCTGCAAAGGGTGCTCTGCTGTAGACTTATCCCTAATCCAACTCTGCCAGAAAGGAGGACACTACAGCAGAGCCAAGCGGACAGGAGCCAGACAGACCAAAGGATCTCCTCCCCAAGGGGCAGATGAAAGAGTTCTCTTATCTAAATTCACCATCTCATCATGTGCCCTGATGTTATGAGACAAGGCTGTGACTCTGCAATACAAAACCACATGAAAGCATTTGACCACGGCTCTTTCATTCCCATATTGGAACTCTGCAGCTGCAAACAACGCAGGCACTGGGACAACTTGGCTTCTCTTTCAACTGCTTTGAGCTTATACAAATCAGATGCCCAAGCAGCCTACGTATAAAAATTGCTCAAAATGTTCCCTCTGGAACTGAGGCTATTGTAAATAAAATCCAGAATGTACAACAGCATTTCTCGCAGCTAGTGCTTTTGGTTAGGGGGGAAGGAAAAAAAAAATAAAAAGGGAAAAAAATCAAAACGACCAGAAGAGAACACACTGGTATTTATAGCTCAGGATTATCTCAGTAATTTGCATGCTGCACTATCATTCAATTAGTAATGTAGCTAATAAGGGTCTAGACTCTAGGAAGCTGACATTCATGCACATTTCAGGGGCTGGTCCAAATCTCTGATACAACAAACCTTGGACACTCCTCCAGCTACCAGCAAATTCCAAGTCAGCTGCAGCAACTGCTGCAATTTACAGCTTTTGCTCCTAATTAAGGGTCAGGCTTAAGCAGCAGAATATTCCCAATAGGGAAATTAAAAAGGAGAGTCTTTATACATCAGTGAAAAGTAGCTTGCTGAGAACTGCCTTATTCCAAGGGATGGAGGGAAGGTTAGTTTACTTTGGGATCAAGCTCCAGCTTCTTAAACCAATCTGCCTCTCCTCCTTGTCTGCAGCCCACTAGGCTAATGCAGCCAAACCAAAAAAAACCCCAAACAAACAAAAAAGAAAACAAAAAAAAAACCACAAACCAACAAACAAACAAAAAAAAAAAGAGGAAATTAAGCCTGCGCACTCAACGGCTTGCAGTGGTAAGTGAACAAGGGGAAAGTCCTTAAGTAGCAGTTATCCGAGTGGTATTCTACAACTAGATGGAATAGGAAAAAAAAGTATTAAGGACAGGTGTACAGCTTCAAAAATAGAACAATTGTACTTCTGCAAGCTTCCTTACCAAAAATGAAGTTACTGCACCAAAAATAGTATTTTCATATCTAACCTAGCAGGCTGTTTCAATTTTTAAGAAGTATCACAGGAAAAGCATTTCTGATAGAAAATGCAATTAAAATACTGCTGTGCTGGGATAACACTCAGTAAAACCTCCTACTTGAAACAGCCCCGTTGTTTCCTGACCAGCCTTTTCCAATCCATAGCTGTGCTAAATGAATTCCCACAGCAGACACACATGCCCACGCATATACGTTGTACATACGCGCTTGCAGGAGTTGGCAAATTCAACATGTAACCGCAGGCTAGATTAAATCATGTCATTTTGTGGGTAACAAGAAAGGCCAGCTAGCTCAGCAGGTTTTGGGGTTTCCGTCACCTTTCAGATAGCGTCTCAGGAGATGCAGGCTGCCCCCAAAGCATCAGCAGCAAACACAGCAGCAAGCGTTCCCGGAAGCGTAGTACGCGTACGTATTTTCCTCCCTAAGCCCCAAGTTCCTCTAGGAAACCCAGTTCTTCCTGTAATTTGCCTGGGTCATTTGTTTTCTCTTGTACTCAGAAACAGCAAAAAAAGAAAACCACTGGCCCAGATACCGGAACAGACCTTACTGCCTCCACCTTTCTAGAGGGCTGAACGTGCACTCCTGCTATTGCTTGTCAAAAGCCAGCACTAAGTCATATTTAGAAAGAAACAAAACAAACAAACAAGCTAAGCTGCATTAAGTTCTGCCCAGAAAAGCTCCCGCTACCAGCAGCCTTTGACATAAATCATGCACCAAGTGCCTGAATGAAACTGCCCAAGCATCTTTCAATGCCATGCAAAGTACCATGAAGCACTGGGGGAAGCAGGGCGGAGGTGCAGGATTTCTCAACAGTCCCACTCACAAACACATTCTCAATGTCAGTTCTAGAACTGAGCCCTCCAACCATTTCTGCGGGATGTTTTAGGGGTGTCCCCTGTGCAAAGAGCTGATTAAGCACAGATGGAAACCTCCAGACAATCTTTTCAGCACATGCATACAATTTTTGCTTCTTACAGAAGCCAAAGGGATTGGCCCATTCACGTTATTTTGCAAAATTAAACACCCTGATGTTTCATGTTTATAGCTGAAAAAGTTTATGGCCAAATAAGAAATGTGTTTCAAAACAACCAATCTGAAAGTGCACAGGAAGATGTGGAATAAACCAAGATATTTTGTCAGAAACAGACACGCTATCCAAAAGTTCAAACAGGATTCCATAAAAATCCACAGAGATCCTTAAAAGATAATTTACAAAAAAAACAGTTAAGAAACCTGGGTATGGAAAAAAAAAACCCCCGAACAGACAACTTGTGACTCTGTAAAAATCAAGTCCTTTAAAAAGGCACTTGACAGCACTCCTGAGGGCAGTGAGCTGCAAGAAAAGTTCCACTAAACACTTAAGACAGTTTAATAACTGAAGGAAATGATGTGTCCCTTAAAAATATCCAGCCAGAACCGATACTATTATGGATTAATTAGGAATGACAAAAGCTTGCCACAAAACATGGACTAAAAGACTCTGCAGCAGACAGAGTGACTCCTTCGAGGAGTAAAAACAATTATTTGATGTCATCTATCAACATAATATTATCTCATTAGTCAAGTGCATCAAGTCTCCTGCATCCTAAGGCTCAAAATAAGAACTGCTTCAAAGAAAACAGGACCAAAAAACCCCAAACAACACATCAAAAATTATTTTAAAAAAAATCACTGCAATAAAGCTATATTTCTATAATCAAATCAGGAATGGACACTTAAGACCTTTGGGGGCTGAGGAAGAGTTAACAGCAGTTCCCACAAACAGCTCCAGTCTTTCAGCACAGCAAGTCTCAGAAAGCCCTCACTACATTCAAGTGAATTACTGTGTAAAGGATATTCACTCTTATTAAACATTTCCAAGCTATTATTTAAAAAACTTCCAAGACAACAGCTTTCTGCAGAGTCACGTCTTGCCAATCCTAACGCTAACAGCGGCGCAAACCGTATTTCCCATGTGCTGTACAGCTGTTTGCAGCTAACTAATATTGCTTCAGTTCATGTGGCTTCACTATAAAATACCTATTACAGAACGTTTTTTTTAAAGAGATGCAATTCTTACGTAGCCCACATAGGCAACACGCCCGGTTGAATTCTGCCTCTTGTAGCTCTAAGGTCCATAATATAAAAACTGTACTTTGATGCTGAATTTTTGGATTTAAGAAATAGAGCACAAGGCACCACTTGAAAGAAAACAAGCATGGAGTATCAGTATAGGCAAGACTAGGAATAAAGCTCTCTCCATAGACAGCTAGTCATTGGAAACTTAGACAAATACGAAACCAACCATTCATGGTTTTTCTTAATAGGAAGATTCTAGCAAATCTGTTCATGCAGTCTTTTAATTCCTGTATACTTGGAAAATTATCTTGACAATTACAGTGACTAAGTTACAGATAAGGAAGTAAAAAAGTAACCTTTGTTACTGCTATCAAGTGATGATAAGAATTTGATAAAGACCACTACGATTGCTGGTTAATTTTTTTCCTCCACTGTGTTTTACAGCCAAAAGCATTACTGCCCAATTGACAATATGATTATTTTAGCAGAGAAATGAAAACTGAGTGGACAACAGAACAAGTGTTTCCAATGCTTTAATCTGTCCTCACCAGCAGAGTGTTTGAGTGCTTGTACAGGGAGAAGGCTCCTAGCCACTGATAGTCTTGCCGTACTAATGCTGGCAGACCCTGTGGGTTAGACAGTTCTCTGTCATACCACCAAAAAACCCAGTGTCTGCTATTAAACACAGTTCTCAGATACCGAGAGCTCAACTTTAGTATAAAGTTACCTTGAAGTGTGATTTGAATCGCTGGTCTTTGTTGTAGTATTCCCAGACTGTATACTGTTCGCTTCGCTAGGAGGATCTTTCACAATATCTGACTTTGGTCTGTAAGAACCAGAGGGAAGAGGGAGAGTATCATGTTAGATTAACCACACAATTAATTGATGCACAGTGCTACTGAAATCACTCCACATTTAATAGTGCATCCTTCAAACTTACTTAGTCTTCTTGTTAGCGTTCTTCTTTGTAACACTTGGACTAATTTCCTTCTCTTTGTCAGGTTTTTCTTTGTCTTGTTTTTCCGCTTTCTCCTTCTTCTCCTTCTTAGGTGGCGGTGGGGTTGCATATTGCTGGGCAACTTGTTGTGCCACCAACTGAGAGTTTATTCTAGGTTTTCTATAATGACAATAAAAAGAGATCTATAGTCAATTTTACACAGTAAAAATAGCTTTACCAAAAGCAATATAAAGATTTATTTCAGCAACCAGGGAAGAATACTCCACTTATAAAGAGCCAAATGGATATCCTTACTTAACGTGAAGTACTACTGCTGCTACCAAACAAGACAGACATTTTTAAATTAATAAATGCTCCAAACTGCTGTTTCATCAGTTTTTAGCCTCATCTAACATTCTTAAGTATAATGCTCCCTTTCTTCCATCCATGTCATGAAATTGCAGCCAATTTTGGGGGGACAATACTGAAAAAGCAGCTTTCAAGAAGTTGCCAGCCACGTGCTGTGGCTATACTTCAAGAGAAGGAACAGAGTGATAAAAATAAGTTTCCTGATAAACATCGTCTCTTTCCTATCTTTCAATTTAATTTTTCAAACGAGCTTCTGGTTCCCTGAAGCAGCAAGCCTGCACAAATAACAAAGAACAAGAGAAGGTAACTGAGATGACTTTGTCCTGAGGCCCGGGACCGAAGCTCACTGGCAGGAGCACAGAAGACAAGCAGGCATTCACGCTTCCACGGGGGAATGGCCGTGCCAGCCTCCGACACACCGTCTTCACACAATTGTCTGCAGTCCTCAATGGTGCTCAGACAAAATACACAAACAAACTGTCTTTCAAAGGCTATATCCATTTCAAGTTATGCTTTATATGAAAAAATAGCTTCGTGTGTAACCAACACCTTGGTTACTGGTCCTTGCGTAGTCCTACAGAAGTTTGTACCATCATCTCTCCTGCATTCCTCATCCACTCACTCGGCTCCTCTCAGCTTAACAACTCAAAACCTCTCCCTGCTGCCCTGGCACATCACAAAGCAGTTTATACTCTGAATACTCTGACTATTCATGATCAATTCAACCCCTTCAACATACCAAAAAGATCTATTACTCCCTGTGTCCACAGCTTGGAGAGGAAGGGAGAAAATCAGGTTATCAACTCCATTAGTCGTCCATTATGAGCTGAATACTAATTCTGACCGTTGTTCATGCTTGTCCATAGCTGCTATATTGGTCATAAATACGATCCAATTTTACTGCATAGATCAGACTACAACTGATTGCCAATGAAAGTGGTACGCAATTATCATTAAGTCTACAACTGGAACACAGAAACCCAAGGCTTTCTGCTGCAGAGCTCTGTACCTGCATCCAGTTTTTACTACAAACACCTACAGAGACTTTAAGAAGCTACTTAGTGGGTTTATGTGTTCAAAAAAACCCCCTACAAAACACTAATTACATGTAACATCTGCATTTAGAAATGATACTGACAATGGAACACCCAGAAAAGTTCTGCTGCCTGTCACAGGAAAATCCAAGTATCTAATAAGCCTCTCTTGGCTCTTGTTTTCTGTGTAATGGAACCAAGATGCTCTTACTGAAGCCAGATATACCCAAATATTTCATTTCACTACCACAGCTTATTACAAAGTCTATGCAACAGATTGCAATCAGGCCCCTGACCCGCCTCAACACCACTGGCATTTGGATTTTTCACCCAACATAGAAACTGTAACTCATTTTATGCCACAATCTGCATACATTTCTGAGTGAACAAAGATGATCTGGTCTTCAGCCTTAAGTAATTACGATGCTGAAACATTCTGCAGATCAGATCAAGCAGTTGCCTGTTCCACAGAACAGTGATAGTATTTAGCATCCTTGCATTTAAAATCCCATATACAGCAATTTCTGGCTGTATGACTGAGAATAAACACGTAAGAAAAGTGTTTTGGTTACATGGAAAAGATTTTCAGATTGATGCAACCACACTAAAAGCTGATAACAGTAGCTTGTGTCAAGCAACCTGCTAACCGCCTACTCAAAAAAAAAAAAGATAAAGTATCAAGAAATCTTCAAAGAGAGGGCAGATACCATCTCCCTACTTGATTATAGATGATTAACCTCACTGCTTGAAGCTGCCACTTCTGCCGAGACTTACAATTCTTTGCTGTTTACACACCAGCTAAGTCAGAAACCAGAGCCATTCATGGGAAATCCCAATTCAAGAATCTGAGAGCACCTTCAAAGTTTTTCTGCTTTGCACCACTCTGATGTGCCTGTTTGCAATGTTATTTCCAAGCCTTATGTCCAACCTCCACAGCCGTTCCTGTTGCAAGAGTGCCGCACTGCATGAAGATACAAATTTTAAAATGGAAACTTCAACCAAACTCAAAATAATAATAAAAAAATACATAAAGAAGTCACACTGTAATTACCTAGAGAAGGCTGGAATCCAAAAAAACCCAGCCTTAAAGTGCTCCTGTGGAGACACTTCGCCCCATGCTCTCCTGCTCCTCATCAGTGCCTGTCATGGCACTCTACATTATTAAGTTTTATCATTTTCTGGCCAGCCGCTGACATAACTAGCACAAATTCTCCAAAACTCCTATTTGCATATTCCTTCCTACACACCGCAAAGGCTCGCTGGTAAGGACAAACCCCGAACTGAAAGCGAAGAGAGCAGGCAGCGGCGTGCGCAGGCAGGGGACCTGCGGGAAGGGACAGGGCGGGCGCCCCGGCGCGCA